GATCCCCTCGACACTGTACTGTGTGCTTGTGCTTACCACTGATTAATGCAATACAAATAGCCTTTTGCTAATTCGTGTGCCATCTTGTTGCCTTTATGTGCGTGTTTGCTTTGTTTCGTAGGCTTACTCGCCCATTTCGAGTGCCGCACGGGGCCCCAACGATTAACCCCGTGACAAAAGGACACTTGCCCACTGTAGATGTTTCCCAACAAGCCGGATATTGGCCTAGCCGTAGTACTAATACCTCCCAGGATGCCATGCATGTAGAGGTCTAGGGCGGGTTCTTGGGCGCCAACGGCAGCACCACCACCACCTGCAGCCACGATCCTCGTCAGGTCTACTGTGGTGACTAGCATCAGAACTTCAGAAGGGCGATCGGCAGTGGCGTCGCCCAGAAAATAGCTTGATATGTACCTTCATATATATATGTTGGTGTGTTTTTTAATCTGATCAGGATGTGATGGATGATGAACTAATTTCGGATGATAATGCAGATTGCTTCTGCATGGGTTTTCTGTTTGAATAGAGAGAATTCTAATGGAACTGTTGGGAGACCATAGGTGAAGCAGTTGGAGACTCTGGCTACAGTCTCCAAGTCTCCAACTGCAGCAACAGCATGTGGGGCCTAGACAAGTAGACAGTAATTAACGTCCACTTTGGAATTTGGATGAGTGATTAGTGGTTCAGATATGAATTGGTTCTCTCTCTCTCTCGCTCGCACTCCTTCATGTAATTAATTTGAATCGGACATATACTAATCATGGTTATACACTCTGATTACACCAAATTTTATCCGTTTATCCGGTGCCTCCCATCATCATTCCACATAATCATGTGGGACTCGATTCCTAAGTGCCATATGTGAAATGTCCTCCCTGTCCCAGGAAGAGCATTTTTCCGTTTTAGTAGGCAATTTTTTATGATGAAAGTAAATAATATGTTTCTAAAGTTTTTTTATGATTTTTTATATTTATATCATTTTATGTTTATAAAAATTATTTTTATTTATCACACATTTTTGTTTAATATGATGAATATATGATATTATTTTTCTTTAATATGATGAATATATGATATTAGAGATGTGTTTATATGTTTTTTTACAATTTCTTGTATTTTTTATATTTTTAATTATTGTCATTATTATTTAATTATGATATCAATGATTGACATATTTGACCCAAAAGGTTGAATTCTTGACTTGCCACTAAACAGAAAAACAACTCCATTTTCGGTTGTTTTTAAATTTGCATTTTATTTCTATCATCAATACCAAGGCTTTAAAAACTGACCCAGAAATGGAACAGTTCTGGCCACCAGTTTCCAGGTCACCAGTTCGACCGTTTGGGTCAAACAGTTCAATCAGTTTAGTCTTTTATTCAAGGTTCTAAATATCTATACACCTGATACACCGGTAGGGGTGTATCGGTACTTTTTTTTTTTACTTTTTTAATATAATATTTTTTTTCAAAACCGGTTCAGGGGGGCCAATTTAAGGTTCCACCACCCCCTAAACCAGTCAGAACCCTGATACATCCTCTGTAGGGCGTACCGAGGAGCTCCCAATACGGTACATATCGGCTGATATGGGCTGATACGTGTCGATTTTTTGAACCTTGCTTTTATTAAGAGAAAGAGACATATTTGGTTGTTGGCATTTGGTTGAGAAAGAAAGAAAGAAAGAAAAGAAGGAAGGAAAGAAAGAAATAAAGAAAGAAAGAAAGGAAAGAGAGAAAGGAGGGAGGAGAGAGGAAGAAAAAGGAAAGGAATGAGAGAAAAGAAGGAAAGGAAGGAAGGGGGGAAGGAAAGAGGAGGATCACCCGACGTTCATCGGCGACGATGACGATAGTGACAACAACAATGCAACATTCAAGGCTCTGAGCATTGGATCTCTCTCAGATTTGAGAACTAGGATCTTAGATCTCAAATCTAATTTCTCTATGATGCGATCTCAGATCTAACATCATTCTTGTCCCAGAGGTCATTCTTCAATCTTCTCTGCCTCCTTTTTAAATCACAAACCGTTGTCCCAATCAAACAGGTTGACGGTTTGACCACCTAAGTTAGTAGTTCTTTGACCAAATCAACGGTTTCTGACCCAGGAATGTGTTAAGGGTGAAACGAAACTGGTTGCCTGGATGGTTTTTGGGCCGAATGGTCCAACCATCCGGGTCAACAACGTTTTGAAAACATTGATCAATACTATCAATTATTCTTTGCCACTTTTTTAATATGACTAATTAATGTAAGATTCAATAAAAGAATGTGAGTTAATACTCTAAATATAAGATTTACACACACACATATATAAAAATGATTAATGAAAATTAATACCTTTAGGCTATATTTGGTTTGAAGGAAAAGGTAAGGAAACCTATACAAGATTTGTAAAGGTTTCCTTACCTTTCCTTTCCTTTCCTTTCCCTCCTTTTTCCTTCAAACCAAACATAGCCTTAATATATGACTTAATGAGAAGAATTTGAATGAGGAGAAAAATGATTGTTCAAATTACATTTTTATCCATACAATTAGAGAGTGATCAAATTAAAATTACATTTCTGTCCTTACAATTAAAAATTGGGGTATTTTAGTCAAACAAAAATTCCATACTATCATTCACATTTTTAATAATAATATAGATATAGATTTTTTGTTGGTTGGCATGTTTCCGAAAGAAAAAGCCAAGAAAACTCAAGAGTAGTATTGGTATTTAAAGGCCTAAACACGTGGAATTCGGATTTGCTCCTTATAGAGTGTGCTTGAAACATTAATCTCACATGGCATTACAGTCGTGCATTGGAACATCTTCCCATGAATGACGACATCAAGCATGGGAGATGTTCTCAATACATGCTAATATGCTATGTGAGGTGCATTCTATGATGAGTGGCATGATTGAAAATGGAAGGGGTAATAGCATATAAGGGCAACTTTTGGGGTTTAATATCAATAAAACTAATATTTTTAAAAAAAATTCAAAAATAGGTTAACTTTTTAAAAATAATATCAATAAAAGGCAAAAACACTGCTCATCATCTTCTTCTTGCCATTTGTTCACTAGCACTGTTGTCCGTCGCCACTCACCACCACCCGCTGCCGCTCGCCGCCGCCTCCAGCAACGTTGCCAGATGTGGTAGCGGCGGCGCTGGTGGTCATTCCTCTGCCCAGTGCCACCACCTTTGTCTCCACCCACCTCCAGCAACGTTGACGGAAGTGGAGACGAAGGTGGGCAAAGGTGGCGGCATTGGGCAGAGAAATGACCACCAGTGCCGCCACCGCCACCTCTGGCAACGTTGCCGGAGGCGGAGGCAGAGATGGGCGGAGGCAGCGCCGGGTAGTAGCGGACGACGGGGGTGGATAGCGGTGAACGGCGACGCTGGTGAAGAAATGACAAGAAGAAGATGATGAACAGTGTTTTTGCTCTTTATTAATATTATTTTTAAAAAGTTAACCTTTTTTGAAATTTTTTTAAAAATATTATTTTTATTGATATTGAACCGCAAAAGTTGCCCTTATATGCTATTATCCCAAAATGGAACCCATGCCGATTTTGTATAAATGGACCTATGGTGGTGGCAATCTTATGACTGTTGGCATAGGTCAAAGAGTTGCTACTCACTTCTAAACTTTTCATATAAACTTTGTTGATAGTTTTTATAGGTTGTCCTCCCGGTTGGTAATGTATGGATTGGCTAGATGAGTGCAACTTTAATATTTAATATTAATCGCCTACTAAATTTAGCATAAAATAACTATATAATTAAGGTTCGTATCATTAGGGTGGGATGCATCACAATACATCACAATATATAGGAAATTCTTATTAATCTTACAAATACATCAATAATACTAAATTTAATATTGAAATATCTATTAATAAATTATAAATACAGAATAAATGCACATTTTAAGAGTTTATATAAAGAGATGCATTACAATCAACAATACCAAATACCAAGAACCTAAAATATGTAATTATAATACAATATTCTTACAAACTACCATAGACCGAATTAAATGCATCCGGTCTAGTCTGGTCTAAAAGTTAACTTGGGAAAAGCATGTATCGACAAATTCTAGAAACATTTTATTAAAAAAWATATAAATAACTTATTCTTAGATCTAGGGGGCTTAATAGACCTTCCAGTCTATTAACAATTCATTAGTGTGTTAGATCAATGAGTTTGATAGATCATTGATAAACCCATCTTATAATTATTTCTTATCATGAAAATCATTTAGAAGATATAAAATATAGTTAGATCAATGAGCTTATAATAGACCATTGATAGATATAAAATATAATTCCTTCGAAGGTAAATCATTTAAAAAAGTCATTTTTTAGAAAACGTGTTTTAAATCCATATATTAAAATTGCACTCCTACTTACCATCCTCGCCAATCCATACTTTCCCAGTGGAAAGGTTTGTTGGATTTTTCTCTTTCCTCTTATCATTTTACTCCCATGTCCAACCAGCTACAAGGGTTTTCAGGAGTTCCCTTGCGGATCCAAATTCTCGAACATCCATTGGAGTCCACTAAAAACTCATATATGTATTGTTGAGAATCTTAGCCTAACACAAATTCGAGGGTCTAGAATTACATCTAATGCTACAGGTGTAAATTGATCAAATTTGAATTGAATTAATGTTCGAATTAACTAATTAATTATTTTAAGTAATTAGTAAATATATAAAATAAATATTTTATTTATACAAATATATAAATATATAAATTCTATATAATATTTTTAAATATTTAAATATTATATATAAAAATTACATAATCAATCAGCCAAAGTAATATATATATATATATATCATTCGATTTATTCATATGTTGGTTGGAGCTTCAAATGTACTTCGTTTTCTCGACATCTTCGTTTGCGTGCTGTAACAGTTCGCAGGGAAACGATCACCCAAAAACACGGATCCCTCACTTCACTCGCCCAAAATTGCTTCCCGCACTCGCTTCTACGCTTCCACTCTTCCCTCAATCCTTCCTTCATCCCCTTCGAAGAGAAGTCCCAAAGAGATCATTGACCATCTTTTGCTTGTCACCTCTTTTTTCCGGAATAACACCATCTCATGGAACAATCTTATCCAAGAGTTCACTTCAACCCGTCGATTCTCACAATCTCTTTTTCTCTTCAAGAAACTCCTTCTAACGCCATTCTGGAAGCCGGATTGCTGGACGTTCCCTCCGCTTCTCAAGTGTTGTGCAGCCCTCTCCGCTACAAATACCGGCTTGGGCCTTCATGGTTACTTAATAAAATCTGGGTTCAGAAGTTGGGTAATTATTGGTAATTGTCTTGTATTTATGTACTCAAAGTTGAGTAGAATCCAAGATGCTTTCCGGGTGTTTGAAGAAATACCCATTAGAGATTATACTACATACAATTCTTTGATGTGCGGCTTTGGGTCCAATGGGTTTTATGAAGAGGCTGTCGTGATTTTTGATCAGATGTTAGAATCTGATTTCTTTCCAAATGTGGCTTCTATTTCTTATGCGATTAGGGCTTGCGGTGAATTGGGAAGCCTAGATAGAGGCTCGTTGATTCATGATTGTGTTATTAAGAACGGGCTTTACTCAGATGTTCCAATTGTTAATTCGTTGATTTCTATGTATATTAAGGTAGGAAGATTAGATCTTGGACGTCAGGTTTTTGATGATACGCCTAAGAAAGATATAATATCCTGGAATTCGATGATCACGGGTTATGCACGGAGTGGATATTGGGTTGAAGCATTTGARCTTTACATCTCCATGAGGAAATTTGAGAATTTGGATCCTAGTCGAGTTACCTTTCTGGGGTTGGCATTGGCTTGTGGGCAGGCTCATAATCTTGACCTGGGGAAGACTATTCATGGTTATTTGATACGCAGTGGACTAATGTCTGATGTTAGGTTGGGAACCTCCATTGTCGATATGTACTCAAAGTGTGGGGCAGTTAAGTTTGCTCGAAGTGTTTTTGAAGAAGATTTACCTGAAAAAAGTTTGATTTCATGGAATTCATTACTTGCAGGGTATTCACAAAATGGGTATAACCATGAGGCAGTACTTCTTTTCCAACAGATGTTTGTGGATGCCAATTTGAAACTTGATGCATTCACTATTGCTAATGTGGTGCCTGCATATGCAAACTCTGCAGATCTGCAAGGAGTTCGATCAATCCACTCAATCATTGTCAAGAATGGTCTTGAGTTAGATGGTGATATTGTTTTGGGTACAGCAATGGTTGATGCATATGGCAAGTGTTCGGATATTGAGGCTGCGACCTCTGTGTTCAATTGCATACAGAATCCTAGTGCTGTGACATGGAACGTAATGATTTCAGGGTACGTTCTGAATCGCCATGCTGAGCAAGGGATTCCTCTCTTTCTTGAAATGCTCAATAGTAATGTGTTTCCAGATTCTATCACTATGGTGATGCTATTTCAATCCTGTGGTGAGCTAGGATCTCTAAAACAAGGGAGTATGCTTCATGGGTATTGCCTTTCTAAAGGTTTTGATTCACATGCTACCGTTAACAATGCCATGATAGACATGTATATTAGATGTGGGTGCATGAAAAGTTCACAGGTGCTTTTTAACTCTATGCCTCACAAGAATGTTGTCACATGGAATACAATGCTTGGTGGATATGTCAAGAGAGGTCATTCAGCCATGGCATTAAAACTGTTTCTCTGTATGCAGTTGGAGAACATGCATAAACCAGACCTGGTTACAATGATCTCCATTATTCAGGCATGCACTTACATTTCAGGTGGTAGAGGTGGTGAAATGGTGCATGGTTTTGCTTTGAAACTTGGCCTTGATTCAGACACACTGGTTGCCAATTCATTGGTTGATGCTTATGCAAAGAACGGCCTCATAATCGAGGCAAGATCATTGTTTGATCAAATGGATAGGTTGAGAGATCAAAGCTCTTGGAATGTAATGATTGCTGCATGTGGAGTGAATGGGAAAGGGGAAGAGACATCTTCACTCTTCTTGCAGATGGAAGAAGATGGCTTTGAGCCAAATTCCATCACCTTTGTCTCTTTACTATCTTCATGTAGTCATTCTGGCATGATCAATGAGGGGTGTCACTATTTTGATTTGATGGTCAGCAAATATGGGATACAGCCATCTTTGGAGCACTTGACATGTATCATTGACATGTTTGGACGGGCAGGTAGGCTACAAGAAGCATATCAATTGATAAAAAATGGGCACCATGAGGGGTCCAATTGTAATCTTTTATCAGATTGTGATGCTGTTTGGAGATTTCTTTTAAGTGCATGCAAGACAAACATAATTATGGAACTTGGTAAGCTTGCAGGAGAACAACTTTCAAGATCGGCACCAGACAAATGTGGGTACCATACGTTATTATCAAATTTATATGCTTCTGGCAGTAAGTGGGATGAGGCTGCAAAGGTGAGGAAAATATTTGAAGATGGTAAGCTGACGAAGAAACGAGGGTGGAGCTTGGCGATGATGTAATACACTAATATTTATATGGTGTTTTAGTCGAGTTGATGCACCAGTAATTGGCTTATTGCTACTAACAGGCAATCTTATTAAACCTGTTAAGGTTGGCTTCCTCCTAGGTTTAGTTCTTTATAGATAGGAATTTGGTATCAGGATGGAATATCCAACTAAAAGGAAAATTTAATTTTCTATATCGGCAAAGTGGCAAATTAAATTATTAGTCTGTTCACCTTCTTTTTTATTGTAGAATGAAGCAACAGAGTACCTCCACCAATTGTAAACTCTGGTGTTCCTTAATTTTGATACTTATTTCATAGTTGTAAATTCTGTTATTTTTTTTTCCAGTAAAAAAAATTCAGTTCATCTTTCAACAGAGATATAGCATTAGATGGAAGGAATAGAATAGTGTCCATGTAGATGCCCTCTCAGTGGAATAAGGCAGATGATGATATGATTGATAATTTCACGTGCTAGTAATTCATCACTGTTCTAGAACAAAATCAATAGGGCTGGTGTACAAGTATAGAACTCTCAGTTTGGCTTGTTTGGTTGGGCCAGGCCAGTCTCTCGGTTCAACCTAAGTATTTACTTAATGAGCCAGCATTGGTGGGCATTGCTTGCTTGTTGAAGGAGACACTCATGTTTGATTGTACTTCTAGTTTGAGGGTGTTTTTTTTCCTCTTTTTACTGCCTGGGTGTAGACCTGTTCATGGGCCGGCCCGGCCCGGCCCGACCCCTGGACGGGCTTGAACAGGCTTTTTGGCCTGCGGGCTTAACCTCAGGCCAAAAAGCCCGGCCCGTATAAAATTCGAGTCGGGCTCAGGCTTTGCCAAAATAGCCCGGCCCGAGCCCGGCCCGGCCCGACCTATAGTTAAACCTAAGTAAAAACCCTATGTGATGTCCATTTGAATAATTTTTTTGATTTGAGAAGGTTGTTGATTCACTTGTAGGCCCATTGTTCATTTAAATAGGGGAAAAAAACATCTGAATTAAAATAGATAATGTCTATTTGAATAGGGAAAATTTTGATTTTCTTTTATTAGGTCGGGCTTCGGGCTTTTTATCAGAGCCGGCTCGGGCTCGGGCCTATTATTTTTCTATTAATAAACACTAAAAGCCCAGCCCGAGCCCGGCCCGGCCCGGCCCATGAACAGGTCTATCTGGGTGCCATTAAAAATGGAGTGACGACCCCCAGATTTGAATCATTTTGGAATGGGATTCAGTTTCCTTACCTACTAAAGACCTGTCAAAGGGTGTCTTGAAGCATAAGCAAGCGTGTGCCATTAAAAGGCTGATAAAAGCTGATCCTATTTTTGGCCAATGTATAGATTGAAGCAGCTAGTGGATAGGCTCATGGATCCCGTTTCATGCCATCCCTCTTTTATTTTGTCATTAAGCTCATATACAGCATAGCTTGCTCTACCTTGCCTTTGAGCGCTTATAGTTAGTCATGCAGTCATGCAGTCATGCTGCACATTGATAGTGGAGGTAAGAACTACAATGAGAGGTACTTATTGAATAAGTGCTTATTTCAAAAATAAGTTCTATTAAAAACAAGTGCTTATTCTAACAAACACTTATGAACATTTAGTAAAAAAGCACTTATTTTAAATAGGGGCAGTATAGGTATTTTCAAAATGACAAGGCAGGCCAAGATAGGCAAGAAAGGAAATAAGCACTTAAAAATAAGCCCAAAATTTGGGTTTCTCAGGTAAGATTTCGGGCTTATTTCCCAAATGCAAATAAGTGCTTATTGGTGTGGTCTTGGCCCAAAAAAGTGCTTTTCTGAATAAGTACTTAGTTTTAAGCACTCCCAAACTAAGCCGTGTACCAAATGCTGGCTTCTCACATTATTTAGATACCAGTGTGAGGGCCAAGCAGGTGTGCAAGATAAAAGGGTAAAAAACAAAAGGGAAGGATGTAAAGATATTTAGACTATGATTTTTTTTTACTAAAAAGTACGCTGTAGCTTGCAGCTCACCGCAGAAATTTGAATCAAGGTTTAAAATATTGATATGCCCGATATGCCAGTAGGGGCGTATCGGGCGAATTGACTCCACCCCCTGAACTGGTCAGACCCCCGATACACCCATTATAGGGGTGTATCGGAGGGGTCTCAGAATGATACATATTGGCCAATACGGGCTGATACGTGTTGATACTTTGAACCTTGATCTGAATTCTACTGCAAACCTACAAAAATTAAAAATGTCAAATACCCCCACCCTAGACACCAATGCCCGTCCATGAATTGACATCAATTCCGAGCTGGTACCTACCCCAATTGTACATTGGGCCTAAGAATTCTGACTCTGGGCTGAACCACCATCCTCCCTTTTTTTATAGTACTTCTATGAATACCTTAACTCATTGATTAGATATAAAGATTAAAATATTTGGATAACCATAATTTTTAAATATTTACCTTATATGAAGTGATGCTTGTAAAATATTGTGATTTTAACTTTTATAGCTGTATGGAAACCAAGGCAAATATTTGCATTATATGGTATAGACATAGATGTTTACAAATCCACCCACATTGAACTATTGCCACTTAGGTGGAGTTTGATAAATCTGAAGTTTGATATTCGAAAAGTCAAAAAGCTATTATTAAAGTCTAAAATCTAAAAAGAAATACAAATGATTTTATGTTTTTTAGAGGTTCTTAAAAGATAAGACATTTGAATTGGAGCAATTCTCTAACTTTTGAAATTGTGAAATTTACTATTTTATCCTTAAAATAGACTGTTTGATAATATTAAATAAAATATTATTATTATTATTACTTAATAATAATGATATTATATATATATTAAAATTGGTCATGCCATGTTAGCAGCCTTCTCCTTGCTTCAAACCCCCTTCCTAATTTTCTGTTCTTTTTGAWTTTTTTTTTAATTCTACATAATTAACCATTAAACCAATAAGGAAATAACATATGGTTAACTATTTATAACAACCATAAAGAAAGAGGGATTTGCTTTTCTAATGTTTAGCCAAGTGGCACCACTTTCCCCCACTTCCTCCTAAATTGTCTATAATTCATATTTATCTCCTAAATTATCTCTAACTCCTATTTATCTCTTAAATTATCTCTAATTTAGTAGAGAGATTCTCTCCTAAATTATCTCTAATTCCTATTTATCCTCTCCCCTACTTTTTATCTACATCTATCTAAAGAATGTTTCAATTAAAAAAAAAATTAGAACCATTTAAATGTTATAATGAAATTATATACTAAACTTACAATATTTATTCAAAACACAAAAAATTAATATATTTAATAATATTTATATTATTAATAATTCAATATTTTTACAAAATTCATCATGAAATTATGTAGTGACAATATAAATTATAACTTTACGAATTATTCAATTTAAATGTTATTCAAATAATAAAAATTTAACATTAAAAAAGGAAACATTATTTAAATATTTTAATAACTAAAAATCTTAAATAAAAACATTAAAAATAGCTAAATAATATAACAAAATATTTAATATTACGTAATAACACTAAAATAAACAAAAWTCAAATAATGAAAAATTTTAAACATTTTACATATTATTTAAATATTTCAATAACAAAATATTTAACCTACCAAAATTTTAAATAGTTAAAATAACGAAATTATGTAATAAATTCAAAAAAATCTTAAAAGTAGAAAAATAATTATAATTGAATTCATAATATTCATATTAATAATAATTTAATATTTTACAAAATTAATAACGAATTATGTAATAATAGAACAATTATAATTTTATGGATTATTAAATTAAATAAATAATTAATATTTTAAGAATTTAAATAACAATATTATTTAAATAACTAAATAATATTGTAAATACCTAATTTCACTTATATCAATTAATAATTATAAAAAATAACTATCAACACAATTATATTTATTAGTAATAATTTTACAATAATAGTGTATATTCATTATATATTTGTATATACTATATTTAATATTTATCTTATTTTCAGTAATTATTTATTGGTTTTTTATAAATATGCTTTCAATAATTATTTATAAATATATTTTTATTTTTGTTAATTAATATAAAATTATCAATAATTATTGGAGATTAAACAACTATTATTTAACTTTTGAAATTTAATTTATCGTATTTATTGTATTTTTGTTATAAATTTATTTTTAGTAATTATATATTTTTATAATTTATAGATTAATACTTATTAGAGATTAAACTATTATTTGAGATTACACTATTTATTGACTCATTTAGTATATTTTCAATATTTATTATATTTTGTAACTATTGTATTTTTTTATATATCTATTATATTTTCATTATAAACTTATTTTCAATGATTGTGTACGTTTGCTATAAAATTTCAATAATTGTTAGAGATTAAACTATTGTTATTTATTACAGATTAGACTATAAATTTAGTTGAAATTAGGAGTGTTCAATGATTGCTTCAGTTCAGTTGCAGGCTATTTTGCCAACAAAATCAATCTGATCAAGTCCTCAGTTTATCACTCGAAACCGATTAACCATTAGCGAAAACCCACCAACTCGGGTTGTATCAATTTGGGTCTATTGTTTAACTTTCGCTTAACAAAGCACGGGTCCCGTCACCATGCCTCTCCTTGCTCCATGTCACCTAACTACCTAAAAATATTCCTATAATCTCCCTCCTAAGGCATCTCATTTAAACCAATAGGAAAGTATCATGCTACCTGTATCCCTAATCAATTCCTAAAATGCATCCCCCTCAATATATATCCACTCTCCCTCATTTAAAATATTCATATTAATATTTAATCCCACCCATATTCAATGAGTATTAAATAGTGTTATTACCAAAAGTTAATAAATACGATTAGTAAATTACCAAAAATTAAATATTCTTATTAGTAAGGTTAGTAAATTACCAAAACTTAATAAATATTGTTATTAATTAACTCATTAACAATATTTTATAGAAATTGAAAACTCTTTAACTAATTTCTATAAATTTGAGAATTATATTTA